TTTTAACCGTCGTAAAACATAAACGTAATGTTTCCACCAGTGATATTAGTTGGATGAAGCAACAGCAAACCAAGAAACGGGATGCAACGGTGTAGTTTACTGTAGGAGGCCGTACGAGGCGATGACAACTGACATGCATCGTGATGTCGCTTTCATTGTGACGTAATGTAAAATGGTTCGATTACGAGGGGGCACACTAGAATGGCGCAGTGATGGGATAACGTCATTCAATTGTTACGTCATCAAAAAACTATACCTTTATTGTCTGATAATGTATTTTTTTTTTATTGTTCTAACCGCTAGGCATCTTAGAATGGGATATAACAACGGCCAGACAATGATGCCTGACAGTGTGATATAACAACGTCCAGAAAATCATATTTGATAACGTGATATAACAACGGCCAGACAAATTGAATGATATCTGATATTGTGATACAACAACGGCCAGAAAATGATGTCTGATAATGGGATATAACATCCGCCAGAAAATGGTGTCTGACAATGGGATATAACAACGGCCAGACAATGGTGTCTGATAATGGGATATAACAACGGCCAGACAATGGTGTCTGATAATGGGATATAACAACGGCTAGACAACGATGTCTGATAATGGGATATAACAACTGCCAGACAATGATGACTGATAATGGGATATGACAACGGCCAGACAATGACGTCTGATAATGGGATATAACAGCGGCAAGACAATAATGTCTGATAATGGGATATAACAACAGCCAGACAATGGATCTCTGATAATGGGATATAACAACGGCCAGACAATGATATCTGATAATAGGATATAACAACGGCCAGACAATGATATCTAATAATGGGATGTAACAACGGCCAGACAATGGTGTCTGGTAATATAATATAACAACGGCCAGACAATGATATCTGATAATAGGATATAACAACGGCCAGACAATGATATCTGATAATAGGATATAACAACGGCCAGACAATGGTGTCTGATAATGGGATATAACAACGGCCAGACAATGATGTCTGATAGCGGGATATAACAACGGCCAGACAATGATATCTGATAATGGGATATAACAACGGCCAGACAATGATGTCTGATAATGGGATGTAACAACGGCCAGACAATGGTGTCTGATAATATAATATAACAACGACCAGACAATGACGTCTGATAATGGGATATAACAGCGGCAAGACAATAATGTCTGATAATTGGATATAACAACAGCCAGACAATGGTGTCTGATAATGGGATATAACAACGGCCAGACAATGACGCCTGATAATGGGATATAACAACGGCCAGACAATGATATCTGATAATAGGATATAACAACGGCCAGACAATGATATCTAATAATGGGATATAACAACGGCCAGACAATGATGTCTGATAATGGGATATGACAACGGCTAGACAACGATGTCTGATAATAGGATATAACAACTGCCAGACAATGATGTCTGATAATGGGATATAACAACGGCCAGACAATGGTGTCTGATAATGGGATATGACAACTGCCAGACAATGATGTCTGATAATGGGATATAACAACGGCCAGACAATGATGTCTGATAATGGGATATAACAACTGCCAGACAATGATGTCTGATAATGGGATATAACAACGGCCAGACAATGACGTCTGATAATGGGATATAACAGCGGCAAGACAATAATGTCTGATAATTGGATATAACAACAGCCAGACAATGGATCTCTGATAATGGGATATAACAACGGTCATACAATGATATCTAATAATGGGATATAACAAATGCCAGACAATGATGTCTGATAATGGGGTATAACAACGGCCAGACAATGATATCTGATAATGGGATATAACAACGGTCATACAATGATATCTAATAATGGGATATAACAAATGCCAGACAATGATGTCTGATAATGGGGTATAACAACGGAAATACAATAATGTCTGATAATTGGATATAACAACGGCCAGACAATGGTTTCTGATAATGGGATATAACAACGGCCAGACAATGACGTCTGATAATGGGATATAACAACGGCCAGACAATGATATCTGATAATGGGATATGACAACTGCCAATGATATCTGATAATGGGATATAACAGCGGCCAGACAATGAAGTCTGATAATGGGATATAACAACGGCCAGACAATGATGTCTGATAATGGGATGTAACAACGGCCAGACAATGGTGTCTGGTAATATAATATAACAACGGCCAGACAATGATATCTGATAATAGGATATAACAACGGCCAGACAATGATATCTGATAATAGGATATAACAACGGACAGACAATGGTGTCTGATAATGGGATATAACAACGGCCAGACAATGATGTCTGATAATGGGATATAACAACGGCCAGACAATGATATCTGATAATGGGATATGACAACGGCCAGACAATGATGTCTGATAATATAATATAACAACGGCCAGACAATGATATCTGATAATAGGATATAACAACGGCCAGACAATGACATCTGATAATAGGATATAACAACGGCCAGACAATGGTGTCTGATAATGGGATATAACAACGGCCAGACAATGGTGTCTGATAATGGGATATAACAACGGCCAGACAATGGTGTCTGATAATGGGATATAACAACGGCCAGACAATGGTTTCTGATAATATGATATAACAACGGCCAGACAATGATATCTCATAGTGGTGGTTAAATTATCCACCCATTGTCTCTTCAACCCTACAACATGTTCAAGTATTACCAGTGTAAAGAACATGTAGAGTAGCAGACTGCTCTTAGCGGCTTGTCCGGGGGACAGGAACCTGAATGTCTCCTTGAAACAATACTCTTCAGCCATTAGCCAAACGTCTGACATCAAATTTTGAAGATTCCTAATGTACTGACGATGTACCTAACGATGTAAGCCACAATACATCGTGGGCAACATGGATCCACTGTGTATGTGTATTCATATTGCCGATACCTTGCACATTGTACACTTTGATGTAGTAACGCCCACCTTTACTGGACGGACCCGTGAAGATCCGGGGTAGAATAAGTCTTCAGCAGCCCATGTGCGTGCCATAAAATGCGACTATGCTTGTCGTAAGAGGCGACTAACGGGATCGGGTGGTCAGTTTCGCTGACTTGGTTGACACATGTCATCGGTTCCCAATTGCGCATATCGATGCTCATGCTGTTGATCACTGGATTGTCTGGTCCAGACTCGATTATTTACAGACCGCCGCCATATAGCTGGGATATTGCTGAGTGCGGCGTAAAACTAAACTCACTCACTTTACTGGACGACCATTCGTGGTTAATTCTTTTGTTTGTTTAAGGCCGCCCTCGGCTATTTAGCGGAGGTGTGTTAATAGCCGAGCATGAGCATCGACCTACGCAACTGGGATACGATGACATGTGTCAACCAAGTAAGCGAGCCTGACCACCCGATCCCGTTAGTGGTCTCTTACCTCAAGCATGGGCTACTGAAGACCAGTACTGAACTACTGCAGTTAAAAGTCCCAAGTTTACATCTGACGGTTTGGGCCTGTCAGTAGTATTGAGATTACCATAAGTTTAGGCAGCGGAAGCGGAAATATATCTAATCAGATTTCTATTCATAAAAAACTATGAGCTGCAACATTTTTTAAAAGCATCTTGCAACAATGTATTTTTGACATTTTCTGCTGAAATCTATTTTATCTCTATAGGATTCCCATCAATGAGGTCAATGACTGTACTATCTTGTCAAGTCTTATCACGTACAGAGTGTACCTGCTGTGAGACAGCAAACAAAATACAGAAATAACTGTGAGAAATGCTGAAGAATAATACAACGTGCAAAGTCAGATAAGAGAACAAAAGAAATTGTTGCATAATATGTGATTAATTTAAAAGCCCTTGAAACTTGTCCAAGACTTTTATCTTGACATGTACGACATGGTGTAAAGATAATTTTGTTTTTTTAAATGTTAACAAAACTAAAGAAATTATTATTGATTTCAGGAAACAAAGATATTTTGTCTGGAGTTCTGATTGATATCGAGGAAATTGAAACCGTTGATCAGTAGACGTATCTTGATATTTATATTGACTCAAAACTCAGTTGAAATTATAACACAATTTTAATGTTGACAGGACCGTCATGTGTCTAATTTGCAATACATTTCTCCAAAGTATTTTAACTTTGACACATGACATGGGACCCTATCTGTTCAGAATAAAAACAAACTTTCCAAAATTGTAAACACAACATGAAAAAACATTGGCACTCCTATAGAAAAAAATAGCAGCTTATTCGAGCAACGAATTTCTAAAAAGAAACAACTTGAAGTAATACCTGACAGCTCTCAGGTCCTTTCCTACGAGTGGGTGGTGGGGTAGCCTAGTGGTTTTAAAGCGTTCGCTCGTTAGACCGAAGATCCGGGTTCGATTCCCCACATGGGTATGTGATGTGTGAACCCCCCCCGCCGTACTACTGCTGGAATATTGCTAAAATGGGTGTAAAACCTCACTCACTCAGTCATTCTGAATACAAGCGTTTACCCTCTGGTCTTCGTCCGCAAACTCCATTAATGAGAACAAACAGGACCGACCTTTTTCGTATACGAGCCAGCATCCGTGCTTTTAATCAATGCCGTACTTAAATTTACGCTTTAAAACTTCTGAATCTCCACTAAGTGTATTCATTGTTGATAGATACACATATGTACATTTTGTGTAAGACCTAGCGTCTGATAAACGAGTGCTACGTTAAGTATCACTACGCGTATCTGTGATGGTTCTGTTATCTCTTTTTGTGTGAATGTTTAGTGAAGTCTGTATTCCATGTTATATTCTACATGTATGGATCTCTTATAATGTAACATAAATTTCTTTTGGGACTAAGTATCTTATCTGAACAGTTGAGTCAGGATAAATGCAGATGTCTAAACTGGTATCTGGTCTTTGTGCGAAACGTATATCAAAAACCAGTCTAGTCTCGCGAGATTGAAGTTCAAAGGTCAGAGTTCAACCGTAACATCTATGACTTCCGGTGGCCAATGTTTACAGTTTTGATGATAAAGAATTAGTACGATAACACATATTATTAACACGTGAATTCTAATCAGAATCCTTGACCCTAGCCGATGGCAACTTCAGAGGAGAGTATGAGATCACTAGAGGCGAAGGTGGTTGTTTTAGGCTCGCAAGGTAAGGAAATGGGACGAAGTGCAAACTTGTCCATTTCACTTCCGAGGTGTTCCGACCTCTTGTCAAACATTCCGCGCCTGTCTGTCATACAACTCTCAACCAAATGGTAATAACGGGCACTGTTTTGGGTAAACTTGTATACCAGGTATGACGTGAGCACTGTCGACACGCCCTAACATCTGGTAAGGCCACCTAGTACACTTATACTAAGTTACAGACTGAGTATGGCCCCTTAGGGTTTATGGCCTATAAAGTCGTATAAAATCTGACAATCCACTATTTTACTTTTACTGTCAAACACTCCCCACAAAAAACGGCAGTGCTATGCATATGTCATCGTACATTGTTTATAATCATGTTTTCTGTATGTTTCTATGTGACAAGGGTGTGGATCAAACAGGGTGGCCTCTGAGTGTCACCTTTAAAGTTAATAATTCTGTACACAGCTATATCCATGATTGGCTTCCAGTCAATATTTTTATTATCTGCAGTCAATAATTGTGACAAACTTATGAGTGTCTCAAAGTAACAGCTTAGTCCTTTCCTGGTTGTGGCAAACTTCAAATAACACGAAATATTTTCCCAGGTCCCTTTAATTTTGACATAGCGATATTTGCATAATTGTGTCATATGTTTTTAGACACATGTGAACATACAATCAGGGATTTACAGGACGCAAATTCCTGCGTCCTATATGCATAAAAATTGACAATGGATGCAACAATATTTATTAGCTCATCCACAGGGACGTAGAAAAAGTTCAAATACTTTTTGTAAAAATTCCAATCAAGTAACAATAAGTTATCACTGAGTTTACTACTAGCTGGATTATGGTATCATCTGCAATTTAATTACAGTAATAATTAATGTGAGGATCATGATACACAATACAATAACAGTTTTATTAACAATAATTAAGTGTCTGGGACCCCCATTTTGTAGTCCAGGACCCCTGAAAATTAAGAGTATGAGTCCCAGGGACCCACAGATACAGTACTCAAGGTAAATGCCCGTACAATGTCACGATTATCACACGAACAATCATAAAAATGTCACTACCTAATAACAAAAATATAACTCTATCCTAAACACAGCGCATCATTCAGGAACTTGCAATGTCTGTGTGACTCTGGTTATAGCTGAAGGGGTCGTCGTCGGCACAGGTACTACAGATGTGTACCCCAGGTACATTTCTGTACCCACAGTGGTATTGTGCACCGTGAAATATTTATCACTGGGTATGGTCGTTTCGTTTATAACACAATCAAATGCAACTTATACAACAGTATGACAGTTCCGGTCAAGAAAACAACACAGTGCGGAATGGAATCATCCTTGTGTATGTGTCTGTGTTCTGATTTTGACTAGGGTACATTTCTGTATACACACATACAAGCGAGTTCGGTAATTCCCCGCGTCCGGTAATTCTGCGCAGCTGCAATAGCAGACTTCCGTATCGAGGTATACATCGTTTGCTACCACATTTACGCTTGAAATCGGGACATTTCTACAAGAGACTGGCTTTTAATCACTAAAGGTAAGTAAATAACAGTAATTGACAGATAAATTGACAGTTTTATGAAAATTCGTTTTCTTCAGACTTTTAAACCTATTCATTCATTATTCATAATTGGATTTAATATGAAACACTCTTCCTTACATTGATAAAGTGATTTTTGAAAATAATCTGGCCCTAATACGCTTCCATGCTTCGGATCTCCAACTGGATGTTATGCGCATCAGTTGCTGCTCAGAAATACCGGACAGCAAGCAATGTCGTCAGAACGCCGGTAAGGTCAACCGTATGGCATAATGCAACGTTAGAATCTTATAGTCGTCAATAAAACTTATATTTGTAGGTAAATATGATGCATACCAGCATGTTCAGTCACATAAACCACAAAAGATAAGAGACGTTAGTTGCGATCGATGTGCTTAGGTGCTCGGAATTACCGGACGAATTGTATACCTGGGGTACACATCTGTAGTACCCGTGCCGACAACGATCCCTTCAGCCTCATTATAGCCCACGTGAGCACTACCATCTGAAAACATATGATGTAAAAAATCCTATGATCCGCTGATGTATAACAATCTCTTGTGTATTCACTTGCTGTTGAACAGGGTTTTACAATGACTTACACAAGTGGGGGTCCAGGGGAGCACCATCAGTTCATTTTGGTAATAAGAGAGTCATGTAAAGTATTGTAAACTGGTGTAGTATAGCTAGTATACGTTCAGATAATTACTTCGGAGCCTTGAATGAATCCGTGGTCATGTGGACGGTGGTGATGAATGATGGCGGAAATAACAGACATAGATGACTGCTCTTCTTGCACTGTAGCCCGTGAAGATCATAAGAGGAGACTAACAGGATCAGGCTCGCTGACTTGGATGACATGTGTCATCATAACCCAGTTGTGTAGAACAATGCTCATGATGTTGATCACTGGATTGTCTGATCCAGACTCGCTTAGCTACCGACCATGCCATATAGGTGGAATATTGCTGATTGCGGCGTTAAGCAGGGACAGAGGGAATCTCCATTCATGCGCGTCATTAATTAGATGACGAGGCATTTGGCTACCTTTGGAGAGTCATAGTTACTCCCGCCGTTTACCCGCGCTTCATTGAATTTCTTTACTTTGACATTCAGAGCACTGGGCAGTGATCACATTGCGTCATCACCCGTTGGCGGCCATCGCAATGCTTTGTTTTAATGAGACAGTCCAACCAATCATGGACTGTAAATACATGCTCAGTATTTTTGTGCATCTCTCTGGACACTATTTGGGTTTTCTGCATCCATTCTCTACATTTGTGTGTCGCCTAAAATCCTGGTGAACTCCTTTTCAGGTCGTGGTGAGGCTGACATATTTAAAAGCACAAGACTCAGCTGCACTGAAGGTGTAGATGAATAGAAACTCCATGAATGTATGCAGTAATGCCTGGATTAATCAGAGCCTTGTATAGACAGATGTTCCATGTACTCTGCTGTGTGTTTCAGGTGTGGGAAAGACAAGTGTCGTCATCCGCTATGTCGGGGGAATGTTCAGCAAGGCCGTCAGTCCCACAATCGGCGCTTCATTCTTCACATACAAGATGTAAGTGTAGCCATGGTAACAGGACAGGAAACTCCCGTGTTCCATTATAGTCAAGATGGACTAAGCAGCATTTAAAATTCCCGCCTGCCCGACCGTTCGGAACGGTCTAATTTCATCTCAGACGGTCAAATTTCAAAAGTAGCCTGTCGGGTGGTCTGGTAGATGTTTTTACCCCTATCAGTAAATATTTTATAATATCAGACAGGTTCTCTTGTCGTCAGTTTCAGGTGTTTAAGGTATTATGATAATTATGTTAAACTATTTACGATTGGACAGTTTATTTTACAATAACCAATCAAACACATGTACTTTCAGTTTACCTAAACTCAGTGCATTGCCTGTCAGTGCAATGTTGTTCATTGTGATGCCTACAAACAGTATAGTATGCAGAAATCTGATTTTTTTGGTTTGTTTTTCATTGTTGAAAACCACACAGGCAAGTTTGTATCCGGACTGTTAATTTTTTAAGTTACCAGTCCGGCTGTCTGGCTTGGAAGTTTGGGAGTTTTAAACACTGCAGTAAGGAACAATCAAGTTGGTTTTACACACAGTTTTAGTTTTAGTTTGGACACATAAGGGTGATTTTAGTTTTTATGGTCTATAGAGTTACCGGTATCTATACAGTTACAGGGGTGGAAATAACTCATTGCCCGACGTCCGAGTCCAGTGTTTTTTTATATGGGGCAATCAAATTTGTATTTCACGCTGTACCTGTGTCCAGTTTACTTTTTCACTGTTAATAATGTTATTTATTTAAAAAATCAACAAGAAAACGGCCGGTATAGTGGAAAAATTATCAGGGCAAGTGATTTTACATGTGCCACTGTTCCGGAGTACACTAGCAATTTTGAAGTTATTTCCACCCCTGCAGTTAACATGTCTGATTACAGGACCACAAGGAGAAAGATACTTTAGTGCTTCATGTTACATTAATGCATTGCTGGAGGGAGGTCACAATACTGGCTTCCCACAATGCATACCTCGATAAAGAGGCCACGATATGTGTCTTGATACAGGTGTCACACGATATGTGTCTTGATACAGGTGTCACACGATATGATACATATCTCTATGCTGAGGCCAAGATATTGTGCATATATCTTCATATATAATATATGATACAGGTGTCACACGATATGATACATATCTCTATGCTGAGGCCAAGATATTGTGCATATATCTTCATATATAATATATGATACAGGTGTCACACGATATGATACATATCTCTATACTGAGGCCAAGATATTGTGCATATATCTTCATATATAATATATGATACAGGTGTCACACGATATGATACATATCTCTATACTGAGGCCAAGATATTGTGCATATATCTTCATATATAATATATGATACAGGTGTCACACATATCTCTATACTGAGGCCAAGATATTGTGCATATAAATTCTTCATATATAATATATGATACAGGTGTCACACGATATGATACATATCTCTATGCTGAGGCCAAGATATTGTGCATATAAATTCTTCATATATAATATATGATACAGGTGTCACACGATATGATACATATCTCTATGCTGAGGCCAAGATATTGTGCATATATCTTCATATATAATATATGATACAGGTGTCACACGATATGATACATATCTCTATACTGAGGCCAAGATATTGTGCATATATCTTCATATATAATATATGATACAGGTGTCACCTACGATATGATACATATCTCTATGCTGAGGCCAAGATATTGTGCGTATATCTTCATATATAATATATGATACAGGTGTCACACGATATGATACATATCTCTATACTGAGGCCAAGATATTGGGCATATATCTTCATATATAATATATGATACAGGTGTCACACGATATGATACATATCTCTATACTGAGGCCAAGATATTGTGCATATATCTTCATATATAATATATGATACAGGTGTCACACGATATGATACATATCTCTATACTGAGGCCAAGATATTGTGCATATATCTTCATATATAATATATGATACAGGTGTCACACGATATGATACATATCTCTATACTGAGGCCAAGATATTGTGCATATAAATTCTTCATATATAATATATGATACAGGTGTCATATATACATATATGCTGAGGCCAAGATATTGTGCATGTCATCTTCATATATAATATATGATACAGGTGTCACACGATATGATACATATCTCTATGCTGAGGCCAAGATATTGTGCATATATCTTCATATATAATATATGATACAGGTGTCACACGATATGATACATATCTCTATACTGAGGCCAAGATATTGTGCATATATCTTCATATATAATATATGATACAGGTGTCACACGATATGATACATATCTCTATACTGAGGCCAAGATATTGTGCATATAAATTCTTCATATATAATATATGATACAGGTGTCACACGATATGATACATATCTCTATGCTGAGGCCAAGATATTGTGCATATATCTTCATATATAATATATGATACAGGTGTCACACTATATGATACATATCTCTATACTGAGGCCAAGATATTGTGCATATATCTTCATATATAATATATGATACAGGTGTCACACTATATGATACATATCTCTATACTGAGGCCAAGATATTGTGCATATAAATTCTTCATATATAATATATGATACAGGTGTCACACGATATGATACATATCTCTATGCTGAGGCCAAGATATTGTGCATATATCTTCATATATAATATATGATACAGGTGTCACACTATATGATACATATCTCTATACTGAGGCCAAGATATTGTGCATATATCTTCATATATAATATATGATACAGGTGTCACACTATATGATACATATCTCTATGCTGAGGCCAAGATATTGTGCATATATCTTCATATATAATATATGATACAGGTGTCACACGATATGATACATATCTCTATGCTGAGGCCAAGATATTGTGCATATATTATGATATATCTTCATATATAATATATGATACAGGTGTCACACGATATGATACATATCTCTATGCTGAGGCCAAGATATTGTGCATATATCTTCATATATAATATATGATACAGGTGTCACACGATATGATACATATCTCTATGCTGAGGCCAAGATATTGTGCATATATCTTCATATATAATATATGATACAGGTGTCACACGATATGATACATATCTCTATACTGAGGCCAAGATATTGTGCATATATCTTCATATATAATATATGATACAGGTGTCACACGATATGATACATATCTCTATACTGAGGCCAAGATTTGTTTTTCCCCCACTCTTTGTTAACACGTATACAAGACCACGATTGTTACATGTCAACCTACACATGCCACGGGGCAGGGCACCACGGTGGTTTTCATGTGTAGCCTCGTTCGATGTTTTACTGTAACATAAGGGAATGTTCATAATTTTTGGCTAGCGGGGTGATGAGAAGCATGTACAATGTGAATGACCCCCACTAAAATATATGTACAAAATATGTGACCCTTCCCCCGCATGTCATGTACAAAATAACCACCCAACCCCGTTAGTCGCCTCTTTTAAGCATGGGTTGCTGAAAACCAATTCTTACCCGGATCTTCACATGTCGTTTTTCCTGTTGGTTTACAGTCAGTGTTCATTACCATGATGAACAGCGTAGTTAGATATGAACTGTGTACTTACAGTGAGAACTGTTAATTCTGGCCCTCTGACTTGAATGAACATGTCAAAACATTTCACAGAAAACTATTAATTTGTTGTTTTAATAAAAGAAACTGAACAGATTATGACCAAGCAACTTAGCTTGCAAAATGCCTAATTTGCGTAGATCAGTGCTCACACTGTTGATCACTGGATTGTCTGGTCCAGACTTGATTATTTACAGACCGCTACCATATAGCTGGAATATTGCTGAGCGCAATGTTAAAGAACAACCAAACAAAAACTAAATTCTCTAAGCTGTTTTCAGACTTTATAACAATCAGGATTCACTGAAAGCATGGTATAAAGTCCTCATCCGCTGTGTCCACATAGAGGCCCTTTCTGTTGAGAATGGTTGCACAAGTTGAGTTATTTTGGCATGAATGAAACATGTCAGTGAGTGAGTGAGTGAGTTTAGTTTTATGCTGCTTTCAGCAATATTCCAGAAATATTACGGGAGGGGGGACACAAGAAATGGACTTCACACATTGTGGTCATGTTGAGAATCGAACCTGGGGCTTCAGCGTGACGAACAAACGCTTAAACCACTAGGCTACCCCACCACCCCTTAATTTCCGAAGGTTGGTAACAGATCCAATGCATTGTCCCATTCGTTGTATAATTGGTGTGCGAAGTGTGAACTTTACAAGTCACGCACATTGGGTTTTACCTGCACAGTTTCCTAGCAACAGCTTTTGTAATAGACAGGAAGCAGAAAATGATTCCAAACAGCCACTTCTGGTGCTGGGCCTAGATTTTCGAAGCTCTCTTAGCGCTAAGATAGTCGTAAGTGCCATACATTAACATTAACTTACGACTATCTTAGCTCTAAGAGAGCTTCGAAAATCTAGGCCCTGGTTCTTAATGTATCATGTGCAAACTTTATCATTCTCCATTGTGTTACTCCGTGAAAACATAACTGTCCATGATTCTGATTGGTCAATGTCTCTGCAGCCTGTCCCTATCCAATCAAAGTAAGCGTACTGTATTAAGATAGGCAGCAAGGAAATGCTAGTCTGGTTGTCAGTTCCATTTTGTATACAATAGGTATATACTGGAGGGTTTAGTTTGTATCTACTATTTTTATTGATGTGAGATCAACAATCCACATGGACAATCCAAATGCACAGTTTCGAGTGCACAATCTACATGCACAATCCACATGAACAATCCACATGGATAACAACATGGACATTCCACATGGACATTTAATTCCACATGAACAATCTACATGGACATTCCACATGAACAATCCACACGGACAATTTACGTCTACAATCCACATGAACAATCCACATGGACAATGCACATGGACAATCCACATGAACAATCCACATGAACAATCCGCATGGACAATCTACGTGTACAATCCACATGGACAATCCACAACATGCCTGATATATTTCCAAGTTTTAACTAAAACATTATCCCCTAATAAGCCTGTAAAAGAACTAGGAACGAAATTAGCGAGGGGAACAACAAAGGAATGTGCTGTAATTATACCCTATGTGTGGCCACATGTACCATTTCTGTAGGTTTCCATTGTATTCGCCATTTTCACCATTTTTCGACGTGACAAGCAAACGCTTAAACCACTAGGCTACCCCACCACCCCTTAACCTATCAGAAGGATGTTAACAGATCCAATGCATTGTCCCAACAGTTGTAGTACTGGTGTACAAAGTGTGAACTTTACAAATCACCCACACTAGGTTTTACCTGCACAGGGGGCGTCGGGGTAGCAATAGTGGTTAAAACATTCGCTCATCACGCCGAACACCTGGATTCGATTCCCCACATGGGTACAATGTGTGAAGCCCATTTCTGGTGTCCCCTGCCATGATATTGCTGGAATATTGCTAAAAGCGGCAACAAACAAAGGAATGTGCTGTAATTATACCATCTGTGTGGCCATTTCTTTAGGTTTCCATTGTATTCACAATTTTCCAAAATTTGTTCAAAGGCTGAACGACTTTTTTCTCATACAGGACAGTGGACAACTACAGAGTCAAACTACAAGTATGGGACACAGCAGGGCAGGAGAGATTCAGGTCCATGGTGAGTACATTCATCACAGGAGAGATTCAGGTTCATGGTGAGTACACTTATCACAGCAGGGCAGGAGAGATTCAGGTCCATGGTGAGTACATTCATCACAGGAGAGATTCAGGTCCATGGTGAGTACATTCATCACAACAGGGCAGGAGAGATTCAGGTCTATGGTGAGTACATTCAACACAGCAGGGCAGGAGAGATTCACGTCCATGGTGAGTACATTCATCACAGCAGGGCAGGGAGATTCAGGTCCATGGTGAGTACATTCATCACAGCAGGGCAGGAGAGATTCAGGTCCATGGTGAGTACATTCATCACAGCAGGGCAGGAGAGATTCAGGTCCATGGTGAGTACATTCATCACAGGGACGGTGGGGTAGCCTAGTGGTTAAAGTGTTGGCTCGTCACGCCGAAGACCCGGGTTCGATTCCCCACATGGTCACAATGTGTTAAGCCCATTTCTGGTGTCCCCCGCCGTGATATTGCTGGAATATTGCTAAAAGCGGCGTAAAACTAAACTCAGTCAGTCAGTCAGTACATTCATCACAGCAGAGCCGGAGAGATTCAGGTCCATGGTGAGTACATTCATCACAGGGAGAGAGAGATTCAGGTCCATGGTGAGTACATTCATCACAGCAGGGCAGGAGAGATTCAGGTCCATGGTGAGTACATTCATCACAGCGGGAGAGATTCAGGTCCATGGTGAGTACATTCATCACAACAGGGCAGAGACTCAGGTCCAGGTCGGGAGAGATTCAGGTCCATGGTGAGTACACTCATCAGAGCAGCGAGAGATACAGGTCCATGGTGAGTACACTCATCACAACAGGGCAGGAGAGGTTCAGGTCCATGGTGAGTACATTCATCACAGGGCGGGAGAGATTCACGTCCATTGTGAGTACATTCATCACAGCAGGGCAGGAGAGATTCAGGTCCATGATGAGTACATTCATCTCAGCAGGGCAGGAGAGATTCAGGTCTATGGTTATTACACTCATCAGAGCAGCGAGAGATTCAGGCCCATGGTGAGTACATTCATCACAACAGGGCAGGAGAGATTCAGGTCTATGATGAGTACATTCATCTCAGCAGGGCAGGAGAGATTCAGGTCCATGATGAGTACATTCATCACAGCAGGGCAGGAGAGATTCAGGTCTATGGTGATGACATTCATCAAAGCAGGGCAGGAGAGATTCAGGTCCATGGTGAGTACATTCATCACCAAAGGGCAGGGAGATTCAGGCCCATGGTGAGTACATTCATCACAGCAGGGCAGGAGAGATTCACGTCTATGGTGAGTACATTCATCACAGCAGGGCAGGAGAGATTCAGGTCCATGATGAGTACATTCATCACAGCAGGGCAGGAGAGATTCAGGTCCATGGTGAGTACATTCATCAAAGCAGGGCAGGAGAGATTCAGGTCCATGGTGAGTACATTCATCACCAAAGGGCAGGAGAGATGCAGGTCTATGGTGAGTACACACATCACAACAGGGCAGGAGACATTCAGGTCCATGGTGAGTACACTCATCACAACAGGGCAGGAGAGATTCAGATCCATGGTGAGTACGTTCATCACAGCAGGGCAGGGAGATTCAGGTCTATGGTGAGTACATTCATCAAAGCAGGGCAGGGAGATTCAGGTCTATGGTGAGTACATTCAACACAGCAGGGCAGGAGAGATTCAGGTCCATGGTGAGTACATTCATCACAGCAGGGCAGGGAGATTCAGGTCTATGGTGAGTACATTCAACACAGCAGGGCAGGAGGGCAGGTCTATGGTGAGTCATTCATCACAGCAGGGCAGGAGAGATTCAGGTCCTTGATGAGTACATTCATCACAGCAGGGCAGGAGAGACTCAGGTCTATGGTGAGTACATTCATCACAGCAGGGCAGGGAGATTCAGGTCTATGGTGAGTACATTCAACACAGCAGGGCAGGAGAGATTCAGGTCCATGGTGAGTACATTCATCAAAGCAGGCAAGGTTCATGGTGAGTACACTTATCACAGCAGGGCAGGAGAAATTCAGGTCCATGGTGAGTACATTCATCACAGCAGGGGGAGATTTAGGTCCATGGTGAGTACATTCATCACAGCAGAGCAGGAGAGATTCAGGTCCATGGTGAGTACATTCATCACAGGGCGGGAGAGATTCACGTCCATGGTGAGTACATTCATCACAGCAGGGCAGGAGAGATTCAGGTCCATGGTGAGTACATTCAACACAGCAGGGCAGGAGAGATTCAGGTCCATGGTGAGTACATTCATCACAGCAGGGCAGGAGAGATTCAGGTCCATGATGAGTACATTCATCACTGCAGGGCAGGAGAGAATCAGGTCCATGGTGAGTACATTCATCACAACAGGGCAGGAGAGATTCAGGTCTATGATGAGTACATTCATCTCAGCAGGGCAGGAGAGATTCAGGTCCATGATGAGTACATTCATCTCAGCAGGGCAGGAGAGATTCAGGTCTATGGTGATTACACTCATCAGAGCAGCGAGAGATTCAGGCCCATGGTGAATGCATTCATCACAGCAGGGCAGGAGAGATTCAGGTCTATGGTGAGTACATTCATCACAACAGGGCAGGAGAGATTCAGGTCCATGGTGAGTACATTCATCACAACAGGGCAGGAGAGATTCAGGTCCATGGTGAGTACATTCATCACAACAGGGCAGGAGAGATTCAGGTCCATGGTGAGTACATTCATCAAAGCAGGGCAGGAGAGATTCAGGTCCATGGTGAGTACATTCATCACCAAAGGGCAGGAGAGATGCAGGTCTATGGTGAGTACACACATCACAACAGGGCAGGAGAGATTCAGGTCCATGGTGAGTACACTCATCACAACAGGGCAGGAGAGATTCAGATCCATGGTGAGTACATTCATCACAACAGGGCAGGGAGATTCAGGTCTATGGTGAGTACATTCATCAAAGCAGGGCAGGGAGATTCAGGTCCATGATGAGTACGTTCATCACAGCAGGGCAGGGATATTCAGGTCTATGGTGAGTACATTCATCAAAGCAGGGCAGGGAGATTCAGGTCTATGGTGAGTACATTCATCACAGCAGGGCAGGAGAGATTCAGGTCCATGGTGAGTACATTCATCACAGCAGGGCAGGGAGATTCAGGTCTATGGTGAGTACATTCAACACAGCAGGGCAGGAGAGATTCAGGTCTATGGTGAGTACATTCATCACAGCAGGGCAGGAGAGATTCATCACAGGTCCATGAGATTCAGGTCTATGGTGAGTACATTCATCACAGCAGGGCAGGAGAGATTCAGGTCTATGGTGAGTACATTCATCACAGCAGGGCAGGGAGATTTAGGTCTATGGTGAGTACATTCATCACAGCAGGGCAGGAGAGATTCAGGTCTAAAGTGAGTACATTCATCACAGCAGGGCAGTACAGGTCTATGGTGAGTACATTCATCACAGCAGGGCAGGAGAGATTCAGGTCTATGGTGAGTACATTCATCACAGCAGGGCAGGAGAGATTCAGGTCCATGGTGAGTACATTCATCACAGCAGGGAGAGATTCAGGTCCATGGTGAGTACATTCATCACAGCAGGGCAGGAGGGATTCAGGTCCATGGTGAGTACATTCATCACAGCAGGGAGAGATTCAGGTCTATGGTGAGTACATTCAACACAGCAGGGCAGGAGAGATTCAGGTTCATGGTGAGTACATTCATCACAACACGGCAGGAGAGATTCAGGTCCATGGTGAGTACATTCATCACAGCAGGGCAGGAAGATTCAGGTCTATGGTGAGTACATTCAACACAACAGGGCAGGAGAGATTCAGGGCTATGGTGAGTACATTCAACACAGCAGGGCAGGAGAGATTCAGGTCCATGGTGAGTGCATTTATCACATGGATTTTCCAAAAAACTAGGATTGTTTCTAAACCCGTACCACAATCAACTAAAAATACATGCACTGTCAATCATGATGTGTTTCGGCAGTGTTGTTCAGTATGAGATGTTGCCATGCGGATGTCGGTCGAGTTCAGTGTAAGAGTGCAGCGTTTGAAATAATCGCCGGCCCGGAGGCCCAGCACCAGATTTTATTGTATCGGGCTGGCAGTTTCAAATATTTGCGTGGCCTTGTGGCCTTCAGTAAATTATCTGTTTGTGTTTATTATTTTTCAACTGGAATCTTTCCCATATTGTTTTTCTTTATCAAAGTTCGGGAATCGTCCATGATCTATCATGTTACAATACTTACAGTTTTGCACGTAGGAATGTCAACACCAGTCTTTAACAAATATAAACGTCTCTCAGTGCCATATGCTTCGCTAATTAAAACAGTGTGAAACTGTGTACAGTGTAGTCTATTTTGTTTTTATTGGTTTGACTTTAGCAAAATGGGCCTGCAGATTTCATTCAGGGCCTGTAGATTTTAAAGCCTGCTGGCGAACGGAAGCCCTTATGGCGAAGTGGCAAATTAAAGTATTGCAAACACCGTAAGAGTGTGACGTATGTTCTGTGTTTCAGGCCCCAATGTACTACCGGAAGGCCAATGCTGCCATGTTGGTTTATGACATCACTTCCTCCGACAGTTTCTATGACATCAAAGACTGGGTCAAAGGTCAGGCAAGCATATTGAAACCAAACTTACATTTAAAGCTTATACATAATGTTTTGCTGCGTGATCTAAACCAGAAAGAAAATGTTATTAAGTATTGTTTAAAACCAGGGTTTGTTTGGATAGATCTAATTTCTTGTGTTTTAATTTTTCAGAACTGAAGAAAAATGTCGACACACCAATAGGTGAGTATTTCATTGTTTTCCTGTCAACTGTTTTCATAAGATTTACACCTGTCACGGACACGGACTTTTAGACAATAGCCAATCAGCTTCAAGGATTTATGGATATCAGTTTGGAGAAAATGTTATTATGCAGAGATGCCAATCCATACGATTTTATCATATTCGTTGCAAAAAAGCAACATTAAATACGCGACTATGATAGCAGTAAGAATATAGTATTTTGGCCAAAACCTCATGCAAAAATTAGTATTTTTTGGCCGAAATTGGTATTAACTTTTCCAAAGAATTTTCATAGTTAATAAAAGATATATAGATATTCTAAGATCTTGCTATTTACATTGTTCTCACATAAATCAGTAGTGAGTATCCACATATAGCTTGATACTGAATAGAACAAGATTGGAGCTTATTGTGTATGGCACGTACGCCATTTAATTTAATGTATGTTTTGAAAAAATTCTAATTGGGATAAATTAGGGTTGGCATCTCTGCATTATGAACCAGTAAATCACGAGACTCCAATGTGGGACAGATGTGAGAGCAGGTTATTCGGTGTATTAGTGATTTAGGCCAGACCAATTTTATTTCTTGTTTTATGGATTTTTGTCCTCAGAAAACCTAAAGGCAGGAGGAAAAAAAATAGAAAATAAAATTCACCGGCCAAAGATATTTACCTTTTGAATACTGAAGTATTTTATTTTTGGCACTTTGTCAAGTGCATATGGGTAAAAAACAAACAAATTATTTTTTGTAAGGTTACATTTTTTTTTTTCCAATGAAAACATGAGGATATTATTTTTTGAGCTGGGAAAATTAATGTTTATTTTCTTTCTTATTCTTGAAAAAATACGACCAGCAGATTCATAAAATAAGAAATAAAATTGGTCTAGCCTAAAGATGGTAGCAGTATCTTGATCCATTTCCATCGTATACCGCGAGGTAAAAGGCCTTATGTGTGCCCACTGCCAGAAACAGAGGGTATATCACACCGTATACCGTGAAGTAAAAGGCCTTATGTGTGCCCACTGCCAGAAACAGAGGGTATATCACACCGTATACCGTGAGGTATAAGGCCTTATGTGCGCCCACTGCCAGAAACAGAGGGTATATCACACCGTATACCGTGAGGTATAAGGCCTTATGTGTGCCCACTGCCAGCAACAGAGGGTATATCACACCATATACCGCGAGGTATAAGGCCTTATGTGTACCCACTGCCAGCAACAGAGGGTATATCACACCATATGCCGCAAGGTATAAGACCTTATGTGTGCCCACTGCCAGCAACAGAGGGTATGTCACACCATATACCGTGAAGTAAATGACCTTATGTGTGCCCACTGCCAGAAACAGAGGGTATATCACACCGTATAAACAGAGGGTATACGCATACATGAAGTAAAAGGCCTTATGTGTGCCCACTGCCAGAAACAGAGGGTATATCACACCGTATACCGTGAGGTATAAGGCCTTATGTGTACCCACTGCCAACAACAGAGGGTATATCACACCAGTATACCGTGAGGTATAAGGCCTTATGTGTGCCCACTGCCAGAAACAGAGGGTATATCACACCATATACCGTGAAGTAAAAGGCCTTATGTGTGCCCACTGCCAGAAACAGAGGGTATATCACACCGTATACCGTGAAGTAAAAGGCCTTATGTGTGCCCACTGCCAGAAACAGAGGGTATATCACACCATATACCGCGAGGTATAAGGCTATAACAAATATATTGTACTGTCACGGCTGTTTTAAAAGTGGTAAATAAGCAGTATCTACAGTCCGTTTGAGTCAGAAATGGACCTATGAATTGCAAATTTGATCATGTGTACAAAATTGCCACAGAAATATGAATAGTACACATGTTTATCATTTACTAATACCCAACAGCTTTCTTATATTTAAAATTTTCCGGACTCAACCAAAAAAGTTGTTTAACAAACTATCATTAAAATTTTTACACAGTTCACTTTGTGTTACGAGGGAGGAATGCAGAGAAAGGGACAGCCAGGTGTTAGAGAAGCACGTGCACAAGTGCTGACAAAGTTATTGATTCATTAACTTGTGCTGTGCCGTCTCCATCCGTTCTCAAACACCTGGCTGTCCCTTTCTCTGCACTCCTCCCTCGTAACAAACAGTGAACTGTGTCAATATTTGAATGATAGTTTGTTAAACAACTTTTTTATTGTTAGGACATAAATTCTGCAAATAAATCACAGAGTTGGTCTGATGTATTGATTATGATCAGCGTTTCATTAAGTATTATATTTTTATTATTTTTCGAGTTAGGTTGCGATTCATCGGTTCGTTTTTAAGCCAAACGGACTGTAAGCACAATGCTGTATTAAACACATACATACATGTACATATTATGTATTTGTATATATATATATATATATAGTTAGGCAATTCAAATTCAAGGTATTGTTTTAACTCCATCACAGCAGTAATTCTTGGAAACATTGTCACCATTTCTGTTGAGTATTAACAATAAAATTTATTCTACTGCAAAAATATAACAGCAAAAATGTCTGACAAAAGTTTGTACCGTGTGACCTCTGAAACAGCTGACTGAACAGCTGACGAAATGAAGGAATGTGCCTAACTCATGTCATGGTGAAGTCAATTTCTAGTAATAACATTTACAACAAGGGTAAAAATTAACAGACTCTAATATGCTAAATGTGTTAAAAAAATTCATAATAATGTTCAGTGTTTTAATAAAGGCCGACTTTTTTAGCATCCTGTGATTTTGTTGATTTAAAGCAAAAAAAATTATGAAAATGGTCGTACACAAATATCTTCAATCATACTCACTTTGGAGTTACTTCCCTTTATTTATTGGTGACAATTAACGAAGGACCGAATATAAAATCCACAGAACTTATAGCCAATAACATGCTTAGTATAGCATCAGGATTCTGGTTCAATGATGGCGGACCTTAGCAACCGGTCCATTTGTCCAATTTGGCATTTATTATAACACATTATTATCCCCCTCAACGCGTTTTGCTGGGGGTATTAAAATGGACTCTGTCCGTCCGTCCGTCCGTCCTTCCATGCACATTTGTCTCTTCCGGAGCTGAACTCTAAAACCGTTCACTTTTTCTTTACCAAACTTGGCCCATAGATTGGTCTGGTGGTGTACTGGTGCCTTTTGGTAGTTTTGGAATTTTGAATAAAATATTTTTGGCTTTTCCATGGCAACAAGTTTTGACTTAGCCTGAAATTGGTGGTAGTGTTCCTTTCTGGAGCAGAAGTTTAAAAACCTTTCAATAATCTCCTTCCACTTTTCTATAGACACACCTAAATATTTGACATAATCATAACTCGTAGACATAATCATGAAGAGTATTTTGCCATTGCGGGGGATATTGATGTCTTTGTCTTCTTGTTACAAATCATATGATAACAAACTACTTCAAATGGAAGTGTGAAGGGGAAGGTGGTGAGGAATTTTTTAATTAATAATAATTAATCATGTTTATGTTTTTACTTTTTTAAATTTCATTTAAAAAGTCATAAGCTGTCTTTTGCTTGTGCTTTAAAAAGTTTAGTTCTAACCCTGATTGATGTTTTGAATGCTGTAACTTTAAAAGGTAATATTTGGTTTGACTTCCTAAGAGTGGTTTGATTGTTTTCACAATGCCTTAAAGTAAGACAAAATCGCTCAGTTCCATAAGTGTGTTGCCTTCCTACAGGCGGTGGAGAAGTCTAGTGGTTAAAGTGTCCTTTCGTCACGCTGAACACCCAGGTTTTCGATTCCCCACTTGGGTACAATGTGTGAAGCCCATTTCTGGTGTTCCCCGCCATGATATTGCTAGAATATTGCGGAAAGCGGCGTAAAACCATACTCACTCACTCACTGCTACAGGCAATGTGTGACTCTAGTTTTCCTTGACTGGTGTCTGGCAATTATGACACTGCCAAGACATTGGGGTATATTTCCAGTTATTCCCCTAAAGACCATGCATGCGGTATTGGTATACCATGGCATGTACAATACCATCATATACAACTGTTATGGTTTCGACTCACCCTTCCTGCCCATGACCGCCTCCGTGGTGTAGTGGTTAGAGCGTCCGCCCGGAGAGCAGCGTAAAACCAAACTCAGTCAGTCAGTCAGTCAGTCAGTCAGTCAGTCAGTCAGTCAGTCATTTGAAAATGTGAATGTTTCAGTCTACCGAAATTACAGGTGACACTGTTCACTCCTGTCTGCAGACATCCTGAGGTTTACACTGTGTCATGCTGTCAGGTTGTGACATCACTAAATATAGATGACCCCTTATCGTACAGTTCACAGGAAAGGACTGTGATGTAACATCAAGTATGAATCACGATGATGGAAATATTACAATCCTCACACCCTATCTGTCGTCCATCACCGTGTTTCTCTATCTGTACTTGTTGCATACTTTTTCTGGCTGGACCTGTCGTCCCTGGTGAGATTGTGTCCTTACTTCGCTGTTCTTGGTATTTGCCTTTACCTTTCAATACAAATGAATAATTTTAAAAATCTGTCTAAAATGAAAAATAGTTACGGTCCCTTCTCAACATGTGCATACACAATCACGATGTTATCCAACCTGCACGTGCCACACACATTGCGACATTGCTGATAGCTATTCCAAAAGCGGCGTAAAACCAAACTCATTCAGTCACTCATTTTTGTCATATACACAAGCAAATCTGAACTGTTGTGTGAATCTTAAGTCACAGCAGTGAGAGCTTATGTGAATGTATTTCAGATCTGTATAGATTACTACAGAAAATACAGTATGATGGGATCCATCTACAAACAACAACATCTATATATTTAAATATATCACTCAGTCATTTGAGACACCTTTGTTGTTTCAGTCATGTGTCTTATTGGAAACAAGGCCGACCTTGACAGTGGAAGAAAGGTCAGTGTGGAAGATGCCCAAGAATATGCCGAATCCATTGATGCCCTTTTTGCTGAAACATCGGCACTGAAAAATATCGGTGAGATTTGACATCTTATTGTGATATTTTACCAAATTTTGGCATAAAAATTTGGTAACAGTATATCCAAATCATGGTTTAAGCTATGTCATTAAAGTAAACCTTAGCAATTGAATTGTTTATTTTCTTGAAGTGGGTATTAGAATAGAATAGAATAATACTTTATTGCCTTTTCAGGAATTTGTGTTACATCAACAGATCTGATGACACATCAGAAACATACAAATACATATCATATTTACCCGGTACATAAATTAATGAATTTAAGTATCTTCATATTTGTTTAAGAGAGATAAGCCATTTGGAATAAAGGATGTACGGGCTCTCTTAGTTTTCACAATTGGAGTGAGTGAGTTTAGTTTTACACCACACTCAGCAATATTCCAGCTATATGGCGGCGGTCTGTACATAATTGAGTCTGGACCAGACAATCCAGTGATCAACAGCATGAGCATCGATCTGCGCAGTGGGGAACCGATGACATGTGTCAACAAAGTCAGCGAGCCTGACCAACCGATCCCATTAGTCGCCTCTTACGACAAGCAAAGTCGCCTTTTGTGGCATGCATGGGTTGCTAAAGACCTGTTCTACTCCGGATCTTCACGAGTCTTCACAAATGGCCAGAAGGGAGGAAGTTGTACAATATTACAATAATGTATCCAGCACAATAAACCTCTTCCTTTATTATTGGACTGACTGACTGACTGACTGACTGACTGAGTTTGGCTTTACGCCGCTTTTAGCAATATTACAGCAACATCACGGCGGGGGACACCAGAAATGGGCTTCACACGTTGTACCCATGTGGGGATTCGAACCCGGGTCTTCGGCATGACGAGCCAACGCTGTAACCACTAGCCTACCCCACCGCCCCTTTATTATTTGAAGTGGCCTCTACAGAGTAGTAATGTCTATAATAAATACCTGTGTCTTGTAACCATGGTAATATTTAGGATTAAGGTATGGATTCTTGTACTTTTTGGGTTGAGTCTCAGACAGGATTCCAACCCACATTCTCAGATTTAACCAGTTATGTTTGCTGGTCGTAAGCTGCTTCACTCTGAGTGAGTGAGTGAGTTTGGTTTTACACCACTTTTAGCAATATTTCACACATTGTACCCATGTGGGGAATCGAACCCGGGTCTTTAACCACAAGGCTACCGCACCGGCTCACTTCACTCTGAGAGTGTCACACACTCCAAAAAGTACTAGAATTTGTATTTTACTTGGAAAGTGTGGCCCCAAATATGCCAGTTATTACATCTGACCAGCTTCTTTGAGTGGCATTGTAGAAGTTGGGAAGTTCATTATTGACAAACTTTGTGGAATCCGACTCAAGAAAATACAAGTTGTTAACCATTATGTTTGTCAACCTTGTACATGTGACCGCTTTGAGGGGAGGTGGGGTAGCCTAGTGGTTAAAGCGTTGGCTCGTCATGCCGAAGACCCAGGTTCGAATCCCCACATGGGTACAATGTGTGAAGCCCATTTCTGGTGTCCCCCGCCACGATGTTGCTTGAATATTGCTAAAAGCGGCATAAAACCACAACAGGTGATAGATAGATGTGACCGCTTTGTGAAAGGCTTAGTTCATGGCTAGTGGTTAATGGACGAGGCTCAACTACAATGTACACCCCAATGTTGTAGTTATGTATTCATGTGGAATGGATAAACATGTTGACAAAGTACTTCTTTGATGGGCATTTTAGAAGTTGAGTCAATGAAACAATAATGACAAACATTATTATGGATATACAACTTCTTTTATTCTTTATGCAACTTCTTTTATTCCGCGGAGGCGATGTTTCGACATAGGTTTGAATGTCATTGTCATCAATTGCTTGACAACGACATTAGAATCTATGTCGAAAAGTCGCCTCCACAGAATAAAAGAAGTTGTATATCCATAATACTTGTCATTATTCTTCATGTTGACAAAGTAGTCAAGTATTAACTAATTGTTGATGGATGAATGTGTCTGTGTGTGAAATGTGTGGATAAGCATATACTATGTGTACAAAATGAGTTGGGTTTTTCGCCGCTTTTAGCAATATTCACCAGAAATGGGCCTCACACATTGTACCTATGTGGAGAACTGAACCCTGGTCTCTGGTGTGGCAAGTGAACACTTTAATCACTTGGCTACCCCATATGTGAACAAACCCCATGAAGAATTAACGTTGTTCTGTAAACGACTGATTGCTGTTCCAGGTATCGAGGAGGCGTTCCTCCAGGTGGCGAAGCAGCTGATAAAAGTATACGAGACACATCCCAATTCTGGACTCGGGCAACGCGGAACCTCCACCAAACCCAGATCTCTTCAGCACAGATGCCGTAAAACTCGCAGAGAAACCAGCGCCAAAACATCAAGAGAGTGATGGATGTGGCTGCTGACGAAAACCCAGACCTTCTTGTTCCATATCACTGAAATCTTCAGGAAGTCACGTGATCACATCCGGCAGAAGTCATGATCACATCCGGCAGAACAATGAGCAGCGGCAATGTTTCCGTTGACAGGTTCCTGGCAGGACGTGTCCTTCGTGTACATGGTCTAAAGACTAATTAGGCTAAACCTTCATTTTAATGCAGCAGTTATGATATGCAGTGGCAGACCCAGGGTTGCTAGGCAACGGTCATTTATTCCAGGTAGGTGTGGACAAAGGGAATGGGAGGTTGAAGAACAGAAGGTAAAGGTGAAGGTCACCAAAACATATGAGTGTCAAGGGAATTTTCCCAAGAAGTGAAATGCATGCTGGGGAACAACCATGTTATAATGGACTACATAACAAGGTATACAGTGAGTTTACTGAGCATTTTCCAAAACTATGACAAACATTAAGGGAGGGTTCTTGTTTTCACTTGATTATTTTGTCAATAAACACCACCCCTGTAATAAATGACCGGTTCCTCAACTAGGGTAAAAAAACCCTCTTTTTTTTAAGAATATATTTCATTATCATCGTTTTTATCATGAGTCATTGTGACTGAGCTTAGCTGAAATATACAAATTTTTGTCATTGTGGACCCTCTTAGATTGTAGCAATTATCTCAGAAAACATTATAGCAGAGAGTTAGGAGTATAACTTTTAATATTATACTTTGGTTCAAACTTTACTGTTGAGTTTGACCAAAATGTTGTGAAAAAATATTCAAATATTTTATTCTACTTTTTGTTTCATATTTTTGCAATAGATTATATTTTTAGAGTTTTTTTAGAATATTTACCTTAAAGGTCACATGCAACCCAAAAATGAAACATAATTAAAACACAATTATCAATTATTCATGACATGTAATATGCATTGCTGGTTATGAAAAAACATATAAACAAAATTATAAGCGTACAATCGCAAATTAACAGTGCAATATTTTGTACTTGGGTTTACTTCCCAAGAAACGAAGCAGACGGGATACCGGACCCAGTCAGAGCGGGTGGGTGTGCACTCAAGTGTAACGGCTGGTTCATTTGCAGATGCCCTCATGGCTCATTGTGTGTGTATGTATAGAGATGTTGGGTTTTGTAAATACATGCTCATTTTTTGTGTATAACATTTTACAATCAACAGACATCATAACATGTCATGTGTACAAGTATCACACCTGCCTGTCTGTGTAATTACATAATGTGACATAGACCGAACTCGGGCCATAAATGAATGCGTTTTGTTTATGGTGTATAGCCTGATAGGTGTTAAGTTCAAATTGCATGTGGTTAGTGATCGAAGTTGTGTATTGAATATTGTCATTAGCAGACGGGCAGGCAGACACATAGGTGTCAATAAAACAGACATTGAGTTTTGTCTGTGACAACGACATATCTATATCACAGTTAGAAATTCTGTCAACGCTAAATAATGACATTGCTTTTAAGTATCGAACTGGGAAAGTGACTGGGTAAGAAGAACGTGTGGTGAAATAGACAAATGAAATTATATAAACAGTTAAATCGGTAATCTACTGTCATAACATATAAAAAGCTCGTGCCTGTGAAATATCACCAAAACATTAGAAAAATAGCTCACACCAAAGCCTTCACCGAGTATTCACCGGACAACCCGCTTCCAAGCTGCGCGAACCTATGTCACTGCGCATGTGCTATGAGCGCAGCCCAGCTGTTGAAACCACTTTTCCCCCAAGCGCTGGGGTAAAATTAATGAATCGTTTGAACTCAAATTTTGCATGTTTTTTTTTCATCCAGTTATTTTCAACTTTATAAGTTGAATTTGCATTTTCGATGATTTGTTTCGGTATGTCCATACCGAAAGGTATCAGAATCTGCAAAGTTGTGTTTTACGTTGCATGTGACCTTTAATTGACCCCTGTATTAGATAATGATTACATGTTTGGCGTAGTCACAAAGAAACCAAGATCAAAACCATGTTGTCTAGAAACAAATGTAACAATAATGATAGATACTCCATTTGTGCAGATCGATATTTAGGATGTAAATCACTGGATTGTCAAGTCCAGACTTGATTATAGCCGTGAGGCGTTAAACAGCCAACAAACCACATGACACAAATAGGGGGTGTTGCGGTGGGGTAGCCTAGTGGTTCAAACGTTCGTTCATCGCGCCAAAGATATGGATTCAATTACCCACATGGGTACAATGTGTGAAGCCCATTTCTGGTGTCCCCGCCGTGATATTGCTGGAATATTGTAAAAGCGGCGTAAAACTAAACTCAGTCACTCACTCACTCATGCTGCCACTGTCTGAATTACGGGAGGTGAACTTATTTCTACTTGCCTAAAACTAACGTGTATTCACCTTGTCAGTACAGGTACCCAGGTAAGGCAGTCATGGGTGCGGTACCCGGTAGAGCAACACAACCTGCCTGACACATTCAGCAAATAGTTAGATTACGTCCATGCAATAGTTACAAGTTGGACAGAGCTCTGTACTGAGTGAGTGAGTTTAGTTTTACGCCACACTCAGCAATATTCCAGCTATATGGCGTATGGCGGCGGTCTGTAAATAATCGAATCTGGACCAGACAATTCAGTGATCAACATCATGAGCATCTAACCTGGATCTTCACGGGTGTAGACAAGCATGGGTTACTAAAGATGAATTCTAACCCATATCTTCTCGGGTGAGCTCTGTATTGGCACTGATTTCAGTATTTTATGCCATGTCACCTCATTGACCAGTGCAAGTTAGGATGCTCACAAACACATTCTGTTTTCAATTAGAAAGAAATATAAAGTACAAGTTTTAGAGTTAATTAATCAGCAGCCATCTTTGCTGTTGACAGTACTGAGGGAAGCAAGTGACTGTATGAGGCTGTTTGGATGTAAGGAAAACCCTGTATTCCAGGGCCTAGATTTTCGAAGCTCTCTTAGCGCTAAGATAGTAAGTGTCATACATTAACATCAACTGACGACTATCTTAGCGCAAAGAGAGGTTCAGAAATTTTAGCCCAGATGTACACCAGATGCATCGTGTCTCATAATTAGTGTACGCATTGATGCATCTACATGAAGCAAGCATGCAAACATGATGTTTATTTTGATGTATTCATTTGTATCTCAACATAAAATACTCTTTTCTTTATTTCTCTTGTAGGAAAAGCAAGTTTCCACATTTTAATGTTTTATCATAGATTTGCAGTTTGGCTATGTGATTCTTTGTGGGCAAGTGTTAATATATGAAACACATTGACAACCATAAACAATGTGAAATAATCCTTTTTTAACACAATATTTTTACACAATAAATTTTTATGCTTGCAAGTGATAGTCCAAGGGAGATAATTAAGGAGTTATCTCCCTTCCAGTTTTAAGCCTATGTTGCAGTTAGAAAGTTGGAGATGGGTAATGTTGCTTTGTTGGTTTATATTGCTAGCAACTGATACTGAGGCTACATAGCTAGCCTATCATTACTACTGGTGCTACTGTGTAGTTACTTTCAATGAGATAGGGAAGAAATACTCAAGCGAGTAACGGAAACGTGTCTGTAGGCCCCAATAAACAAACGACTGGTTAATCCTGTGACTTCTGTGATAATGCCTCATGTGATGTCGTCAATCTGTGTATATTGGATACATTCCATTCTATTGCTTTCCATTCTCATATGGTGTATGTTGGGTATATTTTCTCAGAGCTCCAGACAGATATAGAACCAACCTGAATGAAACTAGGTAGATTTGTTGTTCAGACTCTCGCGTGGTGGAAATTCGACGTTCAAGTGAAGTCATGTAAACTTCTGCTTCGTTTAGTAAGGTATCCACATTATAACACTGACAAAAACAGTAAAGAGAAGGGCCAGTGCGGGTCAAGTCTAACTCACAGTCTGTGCCTGGTTTCTACATGTTTATCTCAGTTAGATCTAGTCTTTGCCATTTTCATTACCTCTGAGTTATTTTAGGTGCGAGAATGAAAAGACCTGGAAGTCTCGACTGGTTAAACAAGAAACATACGCTAAGAAAAAAAGTAGGGAAACTTCATTATTAATTTACGATTGAAAAAATTATTTAGGTTCCCCTACGTTTTTTTAAGAGTATAGATAAAAACTATTTGAAAAGATTATATTGACCACTATCTGGAGCTCTCACAGGAGTTATGCAGTAGTTAGTACTGCTTGTAGTGTCATCCTCCTCGATCCAGGTAATAATAGTAGGATAGCTACTCAAGACCTATATACTGCCATGCCTTTATTCATGATATTTAATTATAACTTCCTACAGAAAGACTCTTGCAAGTATGTAATGTGCTGGAAAGGTTCAGATTAATTCAAATCAGACTAAACTCTAACATGCAGCAGGTCAGGATAATTAGTCAGTCGAAACCCTGGATCAGTGAAGATGGAACAACGTAGAGCATCACTGCAGATGCTTATATTGGCTACCATGGTTACCCAGGTTGTAGTTTGGTTGTAGTGATATTAAGACTGAAGTTGGTTTTATTGTATTTTTACAGAACTAATGTAATCTGTTGATTTTATATGTGCCGAACATAATCAGGGTGAGGTTGTTACAGATGCAAGATCAACCACAAGGAAATGTGTTCCACTTCTGTTCCACTTCTGTTCCACTTCTGTTCTGTTCCATGCTTCATTCACGTTCTGCCTGAAACGCCCAGTGTCAAAATTAATGTGGTTTAGTGCTGGTTGGAACACTAAGACAAACCCTGCTTGTACTCCTAGTGTGTGATACGTCTGTGGTTTGTGTCGTGGCCCTCACTGCTTGTGTTTTGAGTGAATAAGTGACATATTGTCTGAGGCAGGTTAAGGCAGGACAGTTTGACCTGTTTATTATGTTTTACTTATGTAATATATTTACTATTTATTCCAAAGTTTATTAACTACAGGAAATTGAGAACAACATGTCAGCAATTTATTCCTATCTTAAAGCATCCCTACATACAGGCTACACATCACACCCAACACATACAGGCTACACATCACACCCAACACATACAGGCTACACATCACACCCAACACATACAGGCTACACATCACACCCAACACATCACACCCAACACATACAGGCTACACATCACACCCAACACATACAGGCTACACATCACACCCAACACATACAGGCTACACATCACACCCAACACATACAGGCTACACATCACACCCAACACATACAGGCTACACATCACACCCAACACATACAGGCTACACATCACACCCAACACATACAGGCTACACATCACACCCAACACATACAGGCTACACATCACACCCAACACATACAGGCTACACATCACACCCAACACATACAGGCTACACATCACACCCAACACATACAGGCTACACATCACACCCAACAAGCTTGACAAGTACTGTAGATGACATGATGCTGCTACCCCCCTCTTGATGTACAACATTTGGGGGGTTGTTTAGAAAGTCTTCAAACTCGTGTTTGTACTTGGGACTCAAACATATTCATATTTGGTACAAATCAAACATTAAAAATGTCATTGTTTATGTAAAACTTGCTTTCTATTTTCTTTTTCTTATATATTTAAGTGATTTTAAGTGATTTAAATAGCACCCTTTTGTGACTCAGGAATAGATTTCATGTCCCTATGCGTGTTCAATAAATTATTGTTCTCTTAGGCAGACTGTAACTATGGCAATAGTCTGTCTCACAGTCCCTGAGCCACATTATTTACCCTACGCCTGGCCCTCCCTGCAATGTAGTCTGTCTCACAGTCCCTGAACCACATTATTTTCCCTACAGCCTAGCCCTCCCTGCAATGCTAAAGCCCTAAATGAAGCAAGTCTAGATTTCCTCAGGCTCCCTGAATCTCCCTTCCCACTGGGGCTCCTTTTCGATTTAAATGGGTTTATTTGTTACTATCAAAATTATATATAATCAGGGACTAAGCGTTAGTCTACTATGGCACAGGATTCATATCTATGCATAATTGATCAATGTACCCACATACATTTAGGTCAATCTTTTCACTGACAAGTACCCATAACACAACCTACATTTGGGTAAAATTGACATTTGAGAAATGAAAGGGTGCTGTTTTCACAAAAATTAGTCTAAGAGTTCATATGTGCCTGTAATGTTGATATGGAAGACTTCAGCCCAGTAAATATGTCCCAAGCAGGCAAGTATATGATGCTACAGATGGAATCACGTTTTTTTGGCCAAGCTGAATTTAACCCCAAATTCTTTAATGTTCCGTTTCATGTTGGGCAGAATTATTCCTCCTGTAGCCTGTTAGAAACCTGTGATCATGGATTTGAATCCCGTGTCGATGATGCTTCTAGATTTGTACATGGAATCTTCGTGTCTGGGTTTGCACCCTCCTGCCATATGATAGCTTGACTAATATACTGGACAAATTAAGTTAGGGATATTGATATTTTTATGATTGATATTTTACCAGTGTGTCAATGAATAAATAGATCATTATTCATACTTTCAAAAGTTACATATCCCTAAATATTTTTGTCCAGTATATATAAAGGAGCACTGTAAGGAAGTCCAGATGGCTTCACGGAACATTAGGAACCAGATATTTATTACCTGTAAAAGGACGATGGGTTGAGGAATCGGTTCAAAAGGGCACCGGGGAGGATTACCCAAAATTATCACATTCCTACGAGGAGGCTCATAGACATATAATACTAGTATTTGTTTGTGGATGATATTAAAAATTGTGTACGCATATATGGGTGTTCAGAAAATGTACCAAGCATGGGTTGAGGGCCAATACTTGTTGTTCACTAGTGCATCAAAACACTCTGGTGGTGGGGTAGCCTAGTCGTTAAAGTGTCCACTCGTCACGCCGATGACCGGGGTTCGATTCCCCACAAGGGTACAATGTGTGGACTCCATTTCCTGTGTCTCTCTCTCAAAGTCTACCTTGAAGAAGCAGCACAGTAAACTGATGTGTCACTTCTCTGAATTTTACGGAGTAACAAATTCAGTAAAGGGACATGTAAACTAGTTTTGCAGGTAACTGTTTATACATCTCGTGAACACTTCCTTCATATTCCTGTAAGGGGGGTGGGGTCGAACAGCAGACAATTGTTTACAGTACAAAGTTAATTCTTCATGGGTTTTGTATACATATGGAGAGGTGGGCTAGCCAAGTTGTTAACGTGGTTGCTGAACACGCTGAAGACCCGGGTTCGATTCCTCACATGGGTACAATGTGTGAAGCCCATTTCTGGCGTCCCCTGCTGTGATATTGCTGGAATATTGCTAAAAGATGCGCAAGACTAAACTCACTGATATTCCTGTAACTTCTCCGAGTTGATTATTACCATGGTTACGGTACAATATATTCCCGCAGTATCTCAGGGTGTGTTGACAGGCATACAGTCAGTGGTTACATGACAGATGTTGCAATGTTTTCTCAGCTGCCTTAAACAGTGTGATACATGTGAACAGTTGAAATGCCTTTCAGAAAAATGTCATTTTTATTTTTGTAAATTCCAGTACAAAGACTGGATGTAATTGTATATAGCAGAAAATAAAAAAAGTACAACTTATTGACTCTTGCTGTTTGGTTGTTTGACATGATTCAGCGATATCCAAGTTATATACTCTTAAGACCCGTGAAGATCTGGGGTAGAATAGGTCTTCAGCAACCCATGCTTGCCACAAAAGGCGACTATGCTTGTCGTAAGAGGCGACCAACGGGATCGGGTGGTCAGGCTCGCTGACTTGGTTGACACATGACATCGCTTCCCAATTGCGCAGATCGATGCTCATGCTGTTGATCACTGGATTGTCTGGTCCAGACTCGATTATTTACAGACCGCTGCCATATAGCGGGAATATTGCTGAGTGCGGCGTAAAATTAAACTCACTCACTCACTATATGCTCTTAAAACAAAGTAGGGGAACTTCATTTTTAATTTACGGTTGAAAAACTTGGTTGATATATCGGATTCAGTCAGCGCAGCCTCAGCTCCATTATTTTTCAGGAATGGAGAGTTACTGAGACATTACCCTCTATGTAACATCTTCCTACCAGCATGCACCACCTTTTCTAATCCAGAATCCGAAAGCCATGCCCTGGGACGGAGAACACTTGTATGGTGTGTCAGAGGACCAGATAAGCTGCGTATCCGGGTAAAATACGCATAGAAAATTCTAATTACGCATTGAGTTGCGTACCAATTACGCATTTAAAATGTTAGATACGCGAACAGTTTAAAACAAATGCGTACGGAATATATTATAAAAATCGCTTGCGTAATGAAAAAGACATTGATTGCTATCAAGTTGTACTGTTAGTGTAGGATGAGTGATTTTTTTATGAAATCATTTCCATTATATTTAACTTGGTTTTGATTAGGAATGACATAAGGCAGAACATACCTGCTTAGTAAACTTACTCAATGACAAAATACTTAGGTGAGTAATATGACTGAAATACACACATATTTGAAAGCAGTGGGTAACGGAAAATGAAATACCCACTCAACATTCATAATACCCACTCCAAAAAAATAGTGGGTACAGTACCCATATGAGCTAAATCTTATCTGGAGCTCTGGTGTGTGTAACCTGGATGGAGGAGACAGGGAAATGGTGTGTGGTCCACTGCTTTCGTGGATCAGCAAGGATGCTGTGTGTGTGCGTGTGTGAGTGAGTATTTTTTATACAAAGGCAGATATGCCGTGTGGTCGGAGGTGTCAGGAGGAAACCTGTGTGTAAACTCTTACCCTCAGATACAAACTGTTTACTTCTAGTGCTGATTGACTTATTCATTGTACAGCTCCATAGCTATTCTGGACTGGCTCAGGCTTTCCACTCAAATGATTGGAACATACCCAAGGGGAAGTAACTCTGTCTTACCCTGACAACACAAAACCCCAGCACAATGCTCAGTGCAAACCAAATGCTGAGATTACATAAAACCTAAAATATATTACTCTTGACTTCACTATATAAATATTCTTTACTCTTTTGGATCTGACTTATGTGGGAACAAAAGCAAAATTGATGTAAATTGTTGTAATGTTGATAAATTCATATCAAAATGTGTTTTTAGACTAAGAGCAGGTTATGAACAAGAATGGCACACGTTGCTTGTAAATGGCCCTAAATTTCCAATTTATTCTTGTTTTAAAATCTCATTTGATGTTGAATTTTTCAAAATTCCGATCAGCCCTCACTAAATTCAGATGTTCTTCACACCGCCTCCAAACTGAAACCGGTCGATATATTAATCAACCCAGATCAAATAGATTGTTTTGTATGTAAAGACAACTTTATTGACAATGAATTTAGTTTTATTTGGTATGTAAATGTTATCAAAATTTATTAAAATCCCACTTATCATAAGCTTAATATGCTCATGTCAATTGGCAAATCCAGCGATTGTAAACAACCTGGCTATTTATATACACAATGCAATGAAACTTAGAGATTAACTTCTACACCAATAATATCATGTTTCCTTTTGTATATTTTGTAAATCAACTTATTGTCTTCTGAAATATACATGCACATATGTATCGCTCTGTAATCCTGACATGTACCAAGCATATGGCCTCCACAACAAAGAACAATAAAGAAACATAAACTGAGGATCATTTCTTGGCATAGCTTTAACAGAACCAACATCTCGGCTTTACTATCAAAGGAGGGCACTTTTTAGTAACTGCGGATTTTATTTTGTTTGACCACTCACTCCACACGAAGCTGAGCAAGAAGGTCCACACAATACTTTTGTTTTGTTTGTTTACTGTTTAACGCTCTCAACATTTTTCTATCTTTTTTATCTTTATCCACACTACCATAACAAAGTTACAGGTAAGTCTTTATCCACACTGCCATAACAAAGTTACAGGTAAGTCTTTATCCACACTGCCATAACAAAGTTACAGGTAAGTCTTTATCCTCACTACCACAACAAAGTTACAAGTAAGTCTTTATCCACACTGCCATAACAAAGTTACAGGTAAGCCTTTATCCACACTACCATAACAAAGTTACAGGTAATTCTTTATCCACACTGCCATAACAAAGTTACAGGTAAGTCTTTATCCACACTACCATAACAAAGTTACAGGTAAGTCTTTATCCACACTACCATAACAAAGTTACAGGTAAGTCTTTATCCACACTGCCATAACAAAGTTACAGGTAAGTCTTTATCCACACTGCCATAACAAAGTTACAGGTAAGTCTTTATCCACACTGCCATAACAAAGTTACAGGTAAGTCTTTATCCACACTACCATAACAAAGTTACAGGTAAGTCTTTATCCACACTACCATAACAAAGTTACAGGTAAGCCTTTATCCACACTACCATAACAAAGTTACAGGTAAGCCTTTCTCCACACTACCATAACAAATGAAGTTACAGGTAAGTATTGTCACATATAGGCATAAAAATTCTCACTATCCAAGACTGTATCTGTGTGTGATGTAGTGCTAACTTTGCTCTGATATTTGTTCCAACTAATGTAATAATTATTAAATCATGCCATGAGTTATGAACTGTCATACCGTTTTTATTACACAAGTTCAATAATACAGTGAGTGAGTGAGTGAGTTAATATTTAACGTCACATCGGCAATATTGCAGCCATATCGTGACGAGAACATGTGATACTGAAATGAAATATTTGTATATTAAAAAAACCTGCCGACGAAGGACAGTAAAACAACTAGAATATCACAGATATGGATGTAAAACTAGTAATTAAGTCTAAAACGTTATAACGATAGGAGAAAACAATACAGTATAAAAATGGACTATAAATCGCCAATAACTGAAGGTAGATCACCATACCAGGGACCATGGGGACTTACATTTCTTTTGCTAGCTGCATGGACCCTAGTTGGATTTACACCACCCCTTCAGCCATTGGCGACAGAAGAGAAATCTAGCCATAAATTAAAAGCACACATATTCTACGACTAAAACCTGGTACACTTAAATTGACTAAATGTTTTGGGACTTACGTTCAATAATACAGATATATACAGTGTCAGTTGTTATATGTGCAGTATGTATCACAATATAGTGGTCTCTACCACAACACATACCATTAAAATAAAGTAGGGGATATTGGATTTACAAGATTGATAACATGCAAATGATAAAGCTAAGCAGCCAACAGATGAGAAATTAAGGGAAAATGTGACCATTTATTTCATTCCTTTGGAAATATTTCATCTGTATGGATATACATTACTTTTTCTCATATGCATTGACATTGGCTAGTGGTATGCTCGCAAAATGGAATATCCTCTACTTGTTTTTAAAATGGTATATTATAATACAATTTGTGCAGATGACAAACTTGGTCAACATCTCTAGCCATGGGGACAGGGTGTTTGCCCTTTTATCAGCTCAACAGTTCAAATCCCATTATGGAATGTTATGTTACGCTCAATGCATCATCAAATAGGACAATGACAGTGAGTGAAGTTTTTCTCCACTTTTAACAATATTCCAGCAATGTCATGGCCAGGGACACCAGAAACGGTCCCACATTGTATTCATGTGAGGAATCGAACCCAGGTCTTCGGCGCATCAAATAGGATACACATGCACAAAACAACGCACACACAAGCGTATCCCAGAGGACGAAGTAATGTTTATTTATATGTTAATTACAAGCTGATAAACAGAACCCCTGGGTTTTTTCATTTTTTTTCTTCTTTCTCCATCTTAATGCTGCTTCCTGCGGAAAGAGCAACCTGAAAAAAAAACGACACAAGGCTCAAAGTTTGTTCACACAATCACAAGAACATTCAACCGAGGTTTCTCAAAGACTAAAAAACATTAAATATTCTACTAAAACGATGGAAGATCTTGAGCTATGAAACAATTACAACCCAGGTGAAGCCATAAGTTGGTCATATACAATAACCAATGGCGGACAATATAAAGATAAAAGTTAAAACGATGACATGGTTACAATATAAATGATGGTGCGAGCTACTCCAGTTAACTTTTGTCCTGTTAATTGTGTGGGTTTAGTTTTACACCGCACTCTGCAATATTCCAACTAAATGGCAACGGTCTGTAAATAATCCAGTCTGGACCAGACAATCCAGTGATCAACAGTATGAGCATCAATCTCTGCAACTGGGATACGATGACTTGTCAACCTAGTCTGACCCCCCGATCCTGTTAGTCACCTCTTTTATCCAGTTAACACAATACCAAACATGACTGAACACTTTAACTGCCCCTTCCTGTGTGTCGTAACCTGTTAACAGATAAATGCGGTATATGTACCTTCAGTTAGCCTAGCCTTGCCCCCTGTGGGCTGGCACAGCACAGTGGAGCAGCCCACACACAGAACCACAGTCTGTGCATGGCTGAATACAGTTGTGATCTTGTAACATCCTGCAACAAAAGAAAATATATAGACTCAGATACTTCACACTTCTGACTTGGCGGAGGTCTAGTCCAGTCCAACAGAAGAAATGTGCATATGTATATCGACACAGAAAAATACATAGGAATGATAAGTCTTATGGAGGATCAACTTATGTATTGTTCAACAGCGACGTTTCGGTATAGATACTTATTCAGTTTTCATGCGTGAAAACCGTGCAAGTATCTATACCGAAAAGTCGCTATTGTACAATACAGAAGTTGATCACCCACAGGGATAGAAATACTATTTTTCTATGTGTGCCATAGGGCACCAGACAAATATTTAAGGTGTGCCTTTCATAAATCAAGTATTCCCACATGTTTTTAGAATAAATTACAATGATGATGATCACTTGAAATTTATCGTTGAATAAGAAATGGGTTTATGAGCATTCAAACATGTATGGTATTATTTAATTTGGGAAAAAATAATTGTTTTGGGGATTAAATGACTAAATGTGAGTCATGTCTGTAAAAAAATTAGACGCGTCAATAGGGCATCGAGAACATTTTTTAGCTGTGCCATTTCAATATTTACCGTGCCATGGCACACTTATATATGGGGTATTTCGAGCCTTGATCCATAAACACTTGTCATTCCTAATATTGCTCACATTTATTGCGTCAAATTCTTGGCCAGAGGTCTAAAGTTACAGTAATTCAATGCAGCAATGCAATTACTAATTCCTACTGCACACAACAGTAAATGTAGAGATTGGACGCAGATTAATAATTAACTGTGTGCAAAGGGATGCACAATATTATCCCATTGTAACCACAACACATCTGTGGCTTTGCCAAGTGTTCGGTTGTTGCTTTCAGAGCAGTTATGTGCATCAATTTCATCCACCAGTCCACACGATCAATGATTCATTCCAGGCTTTAACACGCTGACTGCCACCCGAGTATACTTGTAGTATCAATGTCTGGCCGAATTTGCCACTACGAGTTATCTCGTAGCTGCATCAATGATATTTTGAAACAGGTTTCACATGTTGGCAAAACAGGCACAAGATTCAATCGACTCTTGGCGGTAACACAGAACGCCAGGAGACGTTCGTTTCTTGTGCCTGTGAGGATTACTGAAAATGCTGTCTGCTAGCAAGTAAACAAAGGGGGATAACCCTTCACAAACTAATGAAAAAGGATTAACGGAGTTGTCTCTCTTGAATGAAACCAAGCAATTGATTGCTGGTCAAGGTTGTTTATACTAGAAATCCAATTAAACATACTCCTAAAATTCTCAATAATTTCTGGTCACAATATGATGGATAACATATACAATAAGAAGATAGCCTCTACATAATTGTGTCTCAACCATGCCACAGTGATCAACAAAGTCTGATGGTATGACAATCTGATTCATTTTGGTGCCTCTTACATTGACTGAGTTTGACACCGTTTTTAGTAGGGCTGTAACGATTAACTCGCATATTCGCTGAATCGAACCGTAGCCCTTCATGAATTCAATTCGTTATTCGTGGTCACCAGAACCGAATATTAACGAATATTTACAATTTTTTTAAGGGAGCATGGTTTACTTGAACCCTTATGTTCTTTCCAAAGTGAGATATGCAAGAATGGAACATGTACTAGCATTGCAGTAGTGCAAGTCATGTTAGTTTGCCAAGACTGCACATGGTACTGTCGACTATAACTATTACATACCAAATTTGAGATCAAGAGATCACTGGTTATTGCTGTGACAAATCAAAACTGTCAACATGGACGTTCCATAAAGTGCATCAATCACTTAACTACAACATTGTATTCGTGAATAATTATTCGTCTTCGTTACCCCAAATTCATGATACGTATCATATTCGCCACATAGTGTATTCGCTGCAGCCCTAGTTTTTAGCAATATTCCAGCAATATTACGGCAGGGGAAACCAGAAATGGGCTTCACACATAGTACCCATGTGGGGAATCGAACCCGGATCTTTGGCGTGACGAGCCAACGCTGTAACCACTGAGCTACCCCACCAGCCCGGGGTGCCCCTTACATCCAGCAGTTGACAGTCAACTCTTAGCCTGAATGAGGGTTGAAATGTATGAAAGAATCTGACCCACTTAGACATTGCTAAATGCTGCATCAGCCATCTTTCAGCTATTTACAGCAAGATATGCATTTGTTTTACAGTACGTTAGAAAATAAAAGTGTTGTTGGAAATTACTAAAATCTGTCAAAAAGTGCGTTGTTGAAAATCACTAAAATCTCAGCTCAACATCACTTTTAAAGGTAAAAACTGACTGCTGAGCTAAAAAGGCTCAATGAAAACAAAGCGCAGCATACCAGGTATTGTGAGGTCAAAGCTATCAGGTGAACCAGTGTTCAATGAATGGCAGTCAACAGGTGCTTGTGGTTACACGAATGTATGAAGTTGAAACTTAATAGCCAAGATTCAAATACTTGAGCATTTATTCATTGATTCATGACTTTCTGTTTCTGCTTTCACCTTATAATTGCGTCTTTCCTTTTACTTGTTATTTAGTAGTCTCATTTCCAGACACCCTGTTCGGAGTGAGTTTAGTTGAACTAAGTCAATCAGCTTGACCACCCAGGGCTCAATTTAGTGCTTTGTTACTTGCACTGGTGCAACCCAATATAACAAAATGCAACCTAGTTATGAGTCTAACTGGGTTTTATTTAGAAATAAATCAGCAATAAATCTAACAAAGCATAAATATGTCAGCTCATTTTTCTTCTAAACTTTGAATAGCTATGGTACCAAAACATTGCTATTTATAGACACGTCTCGGCTATGACAGCTCATTAAACATGGATCAGCTGTCTGTGTTGCTATGGTTTCATGAGTACTACATCACGGAAATATGTTTATGTGCACCGAAACCTCTGACGTTATAACACACTACCTTGCAACTGGAATTTGGCTGGTGCAACTTTATCTTAGGTTGCACCTGGTGCAAGTAGGCTAACATTTCTTAAATCGAGCCTTGCCACCTGATTCCATTGGTCGCCTCTTACGACAAGCATAGGTTACTGAAGACCAATTCTAACCCTGATCTTCACGGGTATTGTTTGGAAACATCTTCAAATGACAAACTGCTTACCTGGACATTTGACATCCATGAAATAGCTGTTGGGTGACTGCACCAAACGCTTCAGTTTACACTTTTGCTTCTCCTCCTCAAGGGAGGGGTGGAGTAGGTCTTTCGCGAGCTAAAACAGAAAGATACTGAGGTGAAGAGTTTGCAAACAGAACAGTGAGTGAGGAAGTTTAGTTTTACACCATTTTTCGAAATATTCCTGAAATATCACTGTAGGGGGACACCAGAAATGGGTTTCACACATTGTGCCTATATTGGGGAATCGAACCCGGGTCTTCAGCTAGACGAGCAAACGCCACAAGGTTACCCTACCTCCCTCTAAACAGTGAATAAGATAAATAACACTATAGTCCTGTTAGCTTGGACGATCAATATCTCGGTTAAAAATTAGAAAGTGAGTTTAGTTTTAAGCTGCACTCAGCAATATTCCAGTTATATGGCGACGGTGTATAAATAACCGAGCACAAATACAGAAGAAACAAAATTATCATAACGAGAGCTTCCATATCACAATAACAAATAAAAACTAATAACTAATCACACAGTTGCTAGAATCCTTCTGGTTGCACATTTCATTTGCATACATTTTTATAATGATGGATTGAAAACTGTTATTTGCTAAGGAAATATGTTATTTCTGTCGGTTCACTAATGAACCCTTCAGACAAAGTGAACGAGTATGGTTTTACGCCATACTCGCAGAGTTAATATGGTATTATGCCAATTGTAGCAATATCATGGCAAGCAAAAAAAAATGGGCCCTGGACATACAGCAGGGAATTGAACCTAGACCTGTCTTAGACGTGATGACCACTTAACCACATGGCTAACCAGAAATATGATCTTGCCTAAATCTTGACAGCTTCCTAAGTTTGGGGCTGGACAACGTTTGCCGACCAAACATTCCTTTACGATCATTAAGGTAAAGTGTACTAATCCCAGTTCGGCATATAACACGTTCGCTTCATGAAAACTAGATTATTTAGTTGGAGTCACCAATTTAACATTGAGAAAAGTGGGGGTTCTCTCCCCTTATATAGATAGCGAAAGTACTTTTCTGGTTGATTTTTCAGTTATTCCATTCTCCTATTTATTGGAAAGGATAGAACATACAAGAAACTTCAATTCAATGTTATCCCCTGTATTCGCCACAGTTCCATGTTTAAAAATAACTAGATTCACATCTTGCACAACATGTGGAAAGCATGGGGTCCGCCATCTTTGTTTACAAGCTGATTCGACCTCGACACATTTCAGGCTTGATATCCACTTGACAAAACTACAGCCAAGTCCATATTTCTTGTGAATCATCCTGATCTACCATTCTAATATCCCCGCATAAACACATAACATGTTGAAACCGAGATCTTGATGGAAAGCACTGCATATCCACAAGCTCAGTACTCGTAGGCAATAGACATTGTAAAACCATCGATCATGACCGATTTTTAACAATCACACACACGAAAATTTGACACATCTCCTGGAGGAAATATACACATGGTCATCAAGAATTAGGTTTCAAATTGTACACCTGCAAGTTAGAGACATTAGTTTTGACATGTAATTGAAGAAATGGCAATTCTGGTTTGAGCAACTCACTGGCATCTTGTTCTAAGCGAAGCCTGATAGAAAAGGCCGAGCTGGGGCCTACATCTAATATAGCACGGGGGGCAGTTGCACAACTAGACTGAAATCAGCCGTAGTTTCGCAATCTGTTTGCAATACTGGAACAAAATCGATTAATAAAAGAAGAATTATATATAACTTTGTCCAAATCGGACCTATGATCTCATCGTGTTGATTTAACAAATACAATATTGCTTGAAATAAGAAATGATATTTGATCAAGGGTAGGTAACTCACTTTCAACTTTTATTGCGCACTTACGAATATGCAGATAGAATGAAAGAGAAACAAGACATTATTTTGTCATGATTTTTACTTGAACATTTAAAGGAAATTGTAGTTATTTAATTCGTAATCACAGTGTGTGATCGATTTCGAAACAAAAAGTATGACCGGTGTGCAATAAGTTCCGGAAAGGTTTAAAATATTCATATTGTAAAGTGACATTTCATACAAATTCTTAATGATGTGGGAAGTCTGTACTGCCAATTCACAGTTTCAGATTAGTACTGACACACAAAAAACAGAACAGAATAATTATGTGATGAACATTTTACTTTGAAACAAGTGTGGTTTATATAATGTTGCAATTAAACTGTAAATGCAAGGCAACTAATGTATACTGTAAACACGTGGGGACAGCAGACTCGAGAATTTAGTGAATGTAGAATAGACATAAATTATTAATGTATGCATTTGCAGCAGCTAGCTCGAGTACCAGAATGACCGGCAGATGACCCTATAATGTTAGCCTTGCTCCAAGGCTGTACTGAAGGCTAAGTCGATGGATGTACAGTAATTCTATCCATTACAGAGGCAAGTCTAGATAAGCGGACAATACATCTAGGCACGCCAGTCTGTTAGGGGGATATTTAGATTTTTTAGAAATTATCATTTAAACTATTAATTATTACCTGAGAGACTTGTGCAAGTCTACTGTAAGGTCAGCCTGCTGGGATGTATAGCAAGCTCCGGACGGTGCTCTGAGGTCGGCTTGATCCACGGAATAAAACTGTATAATAAAATACACCACTAGACTAACATCAGTAGGAGGAAAAACTGTTTTTAAATTCTGTAATACTACCGACATAACCCTGCGGGGCGGTGGGGCAGCCTATTCGTTAAAGCGTTCGCTCGTCACGCTAAAGACCCGGGTTCGATTCCCTATACATGGGTACAATGTGTGAAGCTCATTTCTGGTGTTCCCCGCCCTGATACTGCTGGAATATTGCTAAAAGCGGCGTAATACTAAACTCACTCACTCACTTATTCCTGGCACACATATTGCTGACATAATTTGACAAATGTTCTTTCTATGTAACGATCGAGGGGCGGTGAGGTAGTCTAGTGGTTAAAGCGTTCGCTCGTCACGGCCCGGGTTCGACTTCCCACATGAATTACAATGTGTGAAGCCTATTTCTTGTGTCTCCCGCCGTGATATTGCTGGAATATTGCTAAAAGCGGCGTAAAACAAACCTCACTCACTCACTCACTCTGTGTAACAATGCTCTGAGCACAATTAGGAGATAAACATATTACTGTGTTTGAAAATCTGAGGTATATAACGAAATTATAGTAGTTCTAAATTTGATTTAAAACCGAACGCGTATCTTCATTCTACCATTATTAAGATTTAAAAACCCCAATACATATTGTTTACAATGTGTTGGAAAATTAGAGGTATGTCACGAAATTTAATTAGCAATCATAATCAAATATTTACTGAAGTCATAGCATAATGTTTTTTCCCGTTTGGGATATTATTTCATTGGCTGTGTTACAGTACTGACCAACTGAGATACAGCACTTCACTGTAGATACTTGTCTGTCTCACAGTCCCTGAACCACATTATTTTCCCTACTGCCAAGCCTTCTATGCAGTGCTGAAGCCCTAAATAAAGCAAGTCTAGATTTCCTCAGGTTCTGAATCTCTGGTCTCCCTAGGGCTCCTTTTCAATATAAATGGGCTTGTTTGTTACTATCAAAATTATATATATTCAGAGACTAAGCCTTAGTCTATGTAGATACCCACTCAAACTCGGGGCACTGACTCTGAGCTGAACTGCCCTTGTCTCACTGAGGCGGTCGGGAGGTCAAGAGGTTAAAACTTTCGCACGTCACGGCTCGGGTTCGACTCCCCACGTGGATACAATGTGAGAAGCCAATGTGTGTGTCCCCCACCGTTATATAGCTGGATTATTGCTAAAGCTGGGGTGAAACCCGACTCACTCACTCACTCCTTTTCACATCCCCATGATTCCAAGCACCCGAGTGTCCAATAACAAGTACACTCTATCGCGACGTTTGGTATGATCCACTCACCTTCCGCTTACTGGACAGACATTGTATCCTATAGACCACCTACAGTTAGCATGACAACACATCAGTGTATTCAGTTCAGCTTAGTTTCTGTCTATGTGGGACGGTGGGGTAGCCTAGTGGTTAAAGAGTTTGCTCATCACGCTGGAGACCAGGGTTTGATTCCCTACATGGGTACAATGTGTGAGGCCTATTTCTGGTGTCCCCGTCGTGATATTGCTGGAATATTGCTAAACGCGGCGTAAACCTAAACTCACTCTATCACTACTATTAGTGTGGTGAGACAAATGGGGCTTTCCTTCAAACTACCTCCTTTAATCCTGGACTTTCTCACACACATCACCCTAGACTTTCTCACATACATCACCCTGGACTCTCAAACACATCACCCTGGTCTCTCACACACATCACCCTGGACTCTCACACACATCACCCTGGCATGTCTCACACACATCACCCTGGACTCTATCGTTCACCCTGGACTCTCTCACACATCACCCTACACTCTCACAGACATCACCCTGGACTCTCTCACACACATCACCCTGGACTCTCACACACATCACCCTACACTCTCACACACATCACCCTGGACTCTCTCACACACATCACCCTGGACTCTCACACACATCACCCTACACTCTCTCACACACATCACCCTGGACTCTCTCGCACACATCACCCTGGACCCTCACACACATCACCCTGGACTCTCTCACACACATCACCCTGGACTCTCTCGCACACACCCTGGACTCTCTCACACACATCACCCTAGACTCTCTCACACCCATCATCCTGGACTCTCACACACATCATCCTGGATTCTCTCACACACATCACCCTAGACTCTCACACACATCACCCTGGACTCTCCCACACATATCACCCTAGACTCTCTCACACACATCATCCTGGACCTCACACACATGATCCTGGATTCTCTCACACACATCACCCTGGACTCTCACACACATCACCCTGGACTCTCACACACATCATCCTGGACTCTCACACACATCATCCTGGATTCTCTCACACACATCACCCTGGACTCTCTCACACACATCACCCTGGACTCTCTCACACATCACCCTGGACTCTCTCACACATCACCCTGGACTCTCACACACATCACCCTAGACTCTCTCACACATATCACCCTGGACTCACTCACACACATCACCCTGGACTCTCACACACCCTTGACCCTCACACACATCACCCTGGACTCTCACAAACACCCTGGACTCTCTCACACACATCACCCTAGACTCTCTCACACCCATCATCCTGGACTCTCACACCCATCATCCTGGACTCTCACACACATCATCCTGGATTCTCTCACACACATCACCCTGGATTCTCACACACACCCTGGACTCTCCCACACATATCACCCTAGACTCTCTCACACACATCATCCTGGACTCTCTCACACACGTGATCCTGGATTCTCCCACACACATCACCCTAGACTCTCTCACACCCATCATCCTGGACTCTCACACACATCATCCTGGATTCTCTCACACACATCACCCTGGATTCTCACACACACCCTGGACTCTCCCACACATATCACCCTAGACTCTCTCACACACATCATCCTGGACTCTCTCTCACACACGTGATCCTGCATTCTCTACACACATCACTCCTAGACTCTCTCACACACATCACTCCTAATTCTTCATATATCACCTTAGATTCTCCACACACATCACCCTAGACTCTCTCACACACATCATCCTGGACTCTCTCACACATATCACCCTAGACTCTCTCACACACATCATCCTGGACTCTCTCACACACATGATCCTGGATTCTCTCACACACATCACCCTGGACTCTCGCACACATCACCCTGGACTCTCTCACACACATCACCCTGGACTCTCTCACACACATCACCCTCGACTCTCTCACACAAATCACCCCGGACTCTCTCACACACATCACCCTGGACTCTATCACACACATCACCCTCGACTCTCTCACACACATCACCCCGGACTCTCTCACACACATCACCCTGGACTCTCTCACACACATCCCCTTTGTGCTTTTCTCTCACGCTCCCTCTCTCTCTGTCTATGTGGGACGGTGGGGTAGCCTAGTGGTTAAAGAGTTTGCTCATCACACTGGAGACCAGGGTTTGATTCCCTACATGGGTCCAATGTGTGAGGCCTATTTCTGGTGTTCCCGTCGTGATATTGCTGGAATATTGCTAAACGCGGCGTAAACCTAAACTCACTCTGTCACTACTATTAGTGTGGTGAGACAATTGGGCTTTCCTTCAAACTACCTCCTTTAATCCTGGACTTTCTCACACACATCACCCTAGACTTTCTCACATACATCACCCTGGTCTCTCACACACATCACCCTGGACTCTCACACACATCACCCTGGCATGTCTCACACACATCACCCTGGCATGTCTCACACATCACCCTGGACTCTCTCGCACACATCACCCTGGACTCTATCACACACCCTGGACTCTCTCACACACATCACCCTGGACTCTCTCACACACATCACCCTGGACTCTCTCGCACACATCCCCTTTGTGCTTTTCTCTCACGCTCCCTCCCTCTCTCTTTTTAGTACAGGGAGATGGGGTAGCCTAGTGGTTAAAGCGTTCGCTCGTCACACCGAAAACCCAGGGTCGATTCCCCACATGGGTACAATGTGTGAAGCCCATTTCTGGTGTTCCCCGCTGTCATATTGCTGGAATATTGCTAAAAGCGGCGAAACCACACTCTTTCCCTCTCTCTTA